AAAATTCTTTTCAAATGTTACTTCTATTACATAATACTCATCTCACAAAAGAAATTTAATTATTCCTCTATGATGCACAGTGTATTTATTTATGTTACATTTGACAATCAAACCATCCTATCCTTTTTTTGTAGGTTCTGCACTTCAGTTCTAGAGTGTGAAATGCACATGACCCATGGTATGAATGACAACCTTTACATGTATAATCAGCAGTTATAACATTCCTAACTTTCCTGTATTACAATGGCTGTCAAATCTTTCCAAAAGACTACTTTGAAACTATGTACTCATATTAATTTTCATGTCATTGTGAACACAATACTTAGCAAAGAACTGTTTAATAGAACATATTAATTTTTTTAAAAAACTCAAGAGATCTAGACCCACCATTTTTCTCAATTGCAAAACAAAAAGAAAGATCAATCTCCCATGACTTAGATCACTGCTGCTTGTTAAGAATTGGAATTAAGGAAAGAGATGTTGCTTGTATAAAGGATTAAACAGATCTATTACAACATGTCTAAATTTGCCCTTCTGGAAGCAATTCTCCCAAACTCATTGCTGGAGGCAAGCATTACTCTGATTCCAAAACCAGAGAAAGATCCAACTAAAAAAAGAGAACTACAAACAAATCTAATGAACATAGATGCAAAAATCCTCAATAAAATACTAGCAAACAGAATACAACAACTCATCAAGAAGAATACACATCACAACTAAATAGGATTCATCTCAGGAATGCAGGGATGGTTCACCATACACAAATTCATACATATAAGACAACACATCAATAGAGCAAAGAACAAAAACTACATGATTACCTCAATAGGTGCAAGAAAAACTTCTGACAAAGTCCAACATTCATTCATGATAAAAACCCTACAAAAGATCGGAACTGATGATTTATATCTCATTGTGATATAAGCCAGCTATGATAAACCAACAGCCAACATCATACTAAATGAGCAGAAACCGAAAACCTCCACTTTAAAATCAGGAACAACATAAGGATGTCCACTTTCTCCACTCCTATTCAATATAGTTCTGGAAACATTAGCCAGAGCAATTAGACAAGAGAGAGAAATAAAAAGAATAAACATCAGAAAAGAAGAGGTTAAATTATCATTATTTGCAGGTGACATGATACTCTACATAGAAGACCCACCTAGAATCATGTAGTTTTAATAAATACATTCAGTAGCATAGCAGGATACAAAGTGAAAATTCAAAAATCATTAGCATTTTTGTACACAATCAGAGAACACACTGAGAAATTAGAGAAACTATGTTTTTCAAAATAACATCCAAAAATATGAAATACTTAGGAATCAAACTCACAAAGAAAATAAAAGATGTATAGAGTGAAAATACAGTACACTGAGAAAGCAGACTGAAGAGGATTTTAGAAAGTGAAAAGATACTCCTTATTCCTGTATAGGAAGAACCAACATTGTAAAAATGGCCATACTCCCAAAATTGTTAAACAGATTCAATTTATTTCCAATTAAAATGCCACTAGTATACTGCACAGAGGTAGAGAAAACATTCCTAAAATTCACTTGGAATGAAAAGAGACCTAGAATATCAAAAGCAATGCTTGGAAACAAAGGAAAGACAGGTAGCATCACAATCCCTGACCTAAAATTATACTGCAAAGCTACTGTGATAAAATGAGCATAGTACAGGCTGAGGATCAAAGGAATGGATTAGAAGACACAGACACAACTACAAACATACTCAGCCACCTATCTTTGACAAAGTGGCCAAACATGTTCAATGGAAGAAACACAGCCTCTCTAATAAATGGTGCTGAAAAACTGACTTTCCACATGTTGAAGGCTACAATGAGGCCCATGCCTATCACCGTGCACTAAACTACAGTCAAAATGGATCAAAGATTTAAACATTAAAACAGAAACACTAAATCTCCTGGAGGAACCTGTAGGCAGATATCCTAGGTAGAAAGTCCCTGAACAAAAACAAAACTGCATGGGAAATACTTCAAAGAATCAACACTTGGGATCTCATCTTTCTGAAAAGTTTCTGCATTTCAAAACAAATCTCCAACAGAGCAAACAGAAAAACCATGAACTGAGAAAAAATTATAGCTGACTCCCTCTGACAAAGGCCTTCTAGAACATACAAAGAATATAAAAAAAAAAAAAAATTAGGCCCCCAAATTCAAAACCCAATCCAAAGTGGGCATCTTCATGAGATGAATATATACTTCACAGATGAAGAAATACAAATGGCAAGTAAATATACAAATAAATGTTTAACATCATTGGTCATTTCAGAAATGCAAATTAAAGCAGCACTTAGATTCCATCTCACCCAGAAAGAATGGCTAAGATCAAGAAGTCAGCCAATATCAAATGCTGGATGGGCTTTGGGAAAAAAGGAACCCTTTTCCACTGTTGTGGGAGTGCAGACTGGTACAACCACTGTGGAGATCAATGTGGAGATTCCTCAAAAAGCTTGCATTGTAGGACCCATTCACCTCAGCTATTCCCCTCCTATGTACTTTTCATGAGCAACTGAAAACATCATGCCACAGCAATATATTTACACTCACGTTTATAAAAGCAGCACAATTTGTCATAGCTAAATCTTGCAAGTAACCCAAATGCCAACTAATGAGGAATGGATAAAAAAAGATGTGGCATTTTTACTTAATGGAGTATGATTGAGCTATAGAAAAGGATAGGTTTGAAGCTTTTATTGGTAAATGGATACTCTTAAGTGAAATAAATCAGACACATATGCAAACATCATATTGAGTCCTTAGTGTGAAAACTGAAAGAGAAAACAAAATCTGAAGACAAAAGATACTGGGAAAAGGGAGTGAACTATATCAAAAGGAAGAATTTACTGCATTGAGGCGATGGACAGGAGAGGGAGTGGGGGAAAGAGATATCTATATTTGTAATCAGGATGGTTTGGACAAGTGTACTGTGAATTTCTGCTGGTCTATGGAAAAGAACAGTTGGTGCTTAATTTGTTTTGTCTTTTTTTTTCCAATTCCTTTACTTTTTTCTCTTAATTTTTCAGATTTTATTTTCTTTCTTCTTCTAATTTTGCATTAATATACTTGGCATTATGTGTAGCTAATTAAAAGACAATACTTTAAAATGAATAAAGAAATAAATAGAAAATAAAATTGGAAATGAGACAATACTATGTATTAAACCAAGTACTGTAAAATTCATATAAGTATCTTTATTTGGCAGAAATCTTTATCATTTTTAATTTTTTGTTTTAATATTATTTTATACTTTAAAAATAGAAAATTTTAAAATATATACATAAGTAAATAAATTTGCTCTTCTGAGTTTGTTTGATTTTACTAGGTTTTTTGTTTTGTTTTTTAATGTCTTTTGGTACAGGGTCTCTCCACATAGGTGGACATAGGTAGGACTCATAGTGATCCTGTTTTCAGCCTCCCCAGTGCTGGGATTACAGGTGCTTGCCACCACATGCAGGGTTGGGGCAGCTGCAGCGTGTGGCAAGGGGACCGAACGCTAATTTTACTGATTTTTATGCTAAAAAAATAGTCTTTTTACTAGATTGTTTCCATTGTATTATTTCGGCAGCAGCTTTGTTTCTATGTGGAATACTTGTCTCCAAACCAAACCAAACTGTAATCCCTTCTATATACTATAGAATAGTAACCCTCAATGGGAAAGGTCCATAGAAGGTGATTTGGAAATGAATGAAGAGCTTTTGGTTGGCACAGGACTGAGTCTCAACTAGCTCTTAAAAGTTAGGTGTACTAGGGATTCAGGATGTCCTGTGGTAAACAACTCTCATGCAAAATGAAGCCTGTCTCATAGACATATCACATGGGTGAAATCCTATGCATAAATACTTTGTTATACAATCTATTTTATTCCAGACCTTACTCATTGTATCAGCTAGTTCACAGAAGAGCTGAAAAGAAAAACAACAACAAAAATCTAAACTCATTTTTTTTAAACTTTTGTATTTTTTAACCATAAGAGATCCACAAATGCAACTGCTAAAACAAAGGATTGAACTATCTTTGTTTAAACTTTATCAAGTTTGTCACTATCTCAGGAAATCATACAACCAATTACAATATTACCTGTGGTATTAATATGGACCTAACAAGTTTATAATAGTCCTCATCTTCACAGTGATTATGTGTTTGATATAATCAGGCCAAAGCATTTATCCAATGAATACATATTATATAATAATTTATTTTCCCTTATATTTGATTTATTGTCTATTTTAAAAATTGTGTTTATATACAAGTTATACAGTTTTAAATTTTGATTTCATGTTGTATCTTTTATTTTTCTTTCAGGATAATAAGGTTATAAATTAAAATGTTTGTTTTGTAAAAAGGGCACTAGCAACCAGGTGACACTATATTTTCATTTTATCCTTCTTTTCTTTCCCTCTTTCTTTGCCCCTCCCTTTTCCCTAGTTTTCTCTTCCTTTTGAACACTCTCTTTAGAAAAATAATGATGCACAGGAGTCCAAGAACACCCATAGAAGAATACCAGGCAAGGCAAGCAATTAAACAGAGAGACAGTTAACCTATGGTATTAAAGCTAATGAGATTTTTATGAGTGAGGAGAAGAGATGGAAGATACTAGGTCTCAGAGGCTTGAAAACCACCCAACTAAAGGTAAAACCCTGGCTCAAAAGGGACTGAGGCACAGAGGTTCTTATTTTCACTCAACTTCTAAGTTTCCATATTCCTAAGGAAACATAGCCTTGCTGTATCTCAATATCTACTATTTCATAGCTATATGCATGGTTCTAAATTATACCATAGCCTACTGAAAGTGATAAAAATTCTTGGACCTAAAAGGTCTATCATACTCAGTGACTGCTACCAGAGTTTCACAAAAGCTCTATGAATCTGTCAGCTTCCACAGTGGTGAGGTCATCTTCAGTCTCAAATATGCTATGTAACTCTGTTATATATTACCCTTCATTTGAAAGGAGAACTTTTCAGAAACACTTACCTCAGTAGTAGTTCCAATATCAGCAGATGGGCTGCATGTGCTAGCATCTGGAGGAACCGTGCCTACACTGCTTCGAACTGGAGAACTGGGGACAGGGCCTGTCACAGTCTCTGAATAGGTTGAGGATGTACTCAGATAGCCTTTCTTCTGAATTTTATTCCAGACCTTATTCATTGTATCAGCTAGTTCATAAAAGAGCTGAACCTGACCACAAAAGAAAATAACAACAACAAAAAAAACCAACAAATCTTTCAATTTATACTCACAATTCCCTAAAATGATATTTTAGTACAAGAAAACAAGAATCTTCAAATATTTACCAATATATCATTATTCTTGATTTATTCACATTTGTAATTTGTTTCATACTCACACTGTGATATCTTAAACCTAGCATTTCTTTGGAATAAAACCATGCTAATAAGTGCAGCTGATAATGACTTAAGATATAAACAATTAAACAAACCACGTCTTCTAAACAAAGGACAAGATCAAAATTAGAAAACCAATACAGCTGGGGAGATGGCTCAGTGGAATAAGTGCTTCCCTGACAAATGCAAGGGCCTGAGTTCGATCCCGTTATACCAAAAAACAAAAAAACAAAAAACAAAAAAACAAAAAACCAAAACATCCCAGGATGCACATTTTGTGAAATATATAATCACTGTCATCCCTCACTAATTTCTACTTCTAATTTTTATCTTTCAGAAGTATATAACTGAAACTAGGTTTCTTCTTGGCAAAATAAACTGAAAAAGAATTACACAACATAGAACAATAAAAGCAAAATGTTACATATGAGACTTTTCTATAGATAAAGAACATATTCAACCTACTACTCCCCTGGGATATGTCATTCCACTATTCAGAGAAAAAAACTGTTTAACTTGCACATTGTTTGACTGAGTTTTAAGATATTTACACAAGATTTCATAAATAAGCATTAATCATGGAATTTGTATGACAACACATTGCCATATACTTTATAAAACAAGCCCAAGATAAAAATGCAAACACAATATATAAGCAAATCCACAGCTGGATACCATACTCTGCTTGCCATTTTTTAAAAAAGTGAAATTCTCATAGTTACAAGAACTTTCAGCCTCAGGACACAACCAGATGATGAAGCTGGCTTCTTATGTGGGCAGAACAGATGCATAAAAACACTGTTGGCAATCCTTATTTGATATAAAACAGTACTCTAGTGTAGTTTTCTGCCTTTTGTATAATAAAGTCTCAAATCTAAGGATATAGCTATTTGTGTTTAAAATCAAACTTATGGGTACAGATTTAAAAAAAAAAACAACTTCTTAGAAAAAGTTTAGTTTGAAACTTCTTCCTTCATAATCATGTGTCTCTAAAAATAAATATTTTGGGCCCAAATCAATTTTTGAAAAAGATTATTTTATTTTTTAAAAAAATAACATGATAAGTGGAGTCTAAACAAAGGAAACAAGTTCTATATACTTTAGTGTATGAAATTTACTTATGAGAAATATTATTTCTAATTCTCTTTTACTATTATTAAACATTATATCAAGGTTCAGCACAAATATATATAGGAAAAGGGAGCCAATGGGCCTCTTTTTTACTTAGCTTCCAATTTTACTGAGGAAATACACCCTTACTATGTTTAGCCTAAAAGTGTCTATAAAGTGCTACCAGTGACATAAGCTTTAAAAAATATCTTTTTCTTTTATTTTCGAAGAAGAAAGTTGCTAACACAAAATTTAGCCTTCTACCAAAGTGAGGCAATTAATTTGAGGATAAATGTTCAGTTTTTATACTTCAATTAGCATGTATCCCATCTAAAGTTACAATGCAGTACCACTTTCTATCTAGTAGGATGTCTGAAATTAAAAAGCCAACTATTAATGTACAACAATTTAAATTTTCACTCTTAGCTGATTAAAATATAAAATGCAGTATTTATTTTGATAGTTTTCAAAAAGACACAGACCTTCCATATAATCTAGGCATTCAATTCTAAAGTATTTTTCCCAGAAAAATGTCCACAGAACGATATGCATACAAATGTTTATATCACCATTATCTATAATAGCCCAAATTTAAAAAAAAAAACCTCAAATGCTGAGTGAAAAAATTCAAGTACATATATGTGTATATATAAGGGAATATTATTTGGCCTCAAAAATTAAGTGCTAAATTTTACATAATAATTTAATCTAGGTGATCTCTATTCACATTACATTATTGAGCTGCAAAATACAACATGATTGACCTATGACAACTCAATCATGCAGGATTGCCAAAAGATGTATTTATGTTGCCATCATTACACTTTCAGAAGATTTTAAATTACAAAACAGGTGAAAAACTTCAAAGCAATTCTTAATCTAATCACCAAGATCATTGTGGCTTAGTCAACAGAAAATATTTAAGAGGACTCTTCTGATAAAAAGGATACTTACTTTTAAAACCCATCACTTTAACCTTCCTTTTATAAATCCAATGTACCAACCTGGGGATTAGAGCATTTTATTTCCAGGGACTCTAGGTCAACATGGAGACAGACAACAAATGAATGTCTTGCATCCGGTCCTGTAGCAATTAGTTTTTGAGATGTGACAGCTAGAGTAGAGGTACAACCCATAGGTTCAACTAGGCAAAGTGTCATTTGCTTTCCAAGAAGGGTATATATGCTGAAATGATGTAGGCTGATGGTCCAAGGAAAAGCATCACCTGATAAGGGGGAAAAGGAAGAAGGCATATAAACAAAGCATCAGTTAACTGTTACATGATAGTCAAATGACTTTTTAATGTTTAAAATACAAAGTATTTCATATTGTAAAAAGCAAAGTATAAAAAAGCAAAGTACAGTATCCTTGAGATCAAGTGCTAATTTACACTATTTTTACTTTTAACAATGTTTATTATAAAATGTTTATTAAAATGAATGTTATAAACAATACA